TTCCTTTCTGTACCAATTCTGAAATAGACTGCACTTGTTAAATTATTTCCATTTCATCTTTAAGCTATTACATTTCATCACTAGTCAGCAAAAGCACACAAATTTAACACTTTTATTAAAAACATTTTGACAAAATAACTGTAGCATTTAGTAATATGTCATATTCAGAAATATGTGACATGAATTTAAAACACTTGATATTACATGAGTCAATAAAAATACAGTACGTGTTAACGAACGAGCAAGAAAGCTCATTCTGAAAGGAGAAACATTATTCTGGCTCATACATGTTCCACTCCTGTGTTGATGCATAACTTAGCTATTATATGGGTATAACAGATTCATGATAGAAGCCCAAGAAGTCTTAGGTAAACGTATTTTTCATTTATACTTTCTTCCTCCAAATGGGTAGGACAGTAACCACTGACATTAGAGGATGAAACTGGGCTGAACTAAATTAGATGCGTATTTATCTTTTAACATAGATAGTGGGAGACTAGGCTGAACAGAGGTGGTCTATGCAGCCTCTCAAATAAATCTGTTATCTTAACACAACAACTCCTATCAAAGTGTTTGGAAGCAGTTTTTTAATGGCATATTTTACCTATACACCAGTGAAATCAGCAAGGCAGACAAAGTTGTTTTTGCAATTCTCTACTTACCTCTTAATCTCTCCTACCAGGTCAGGGCTCCATCAGTATACAGTGCTCTATGTTTGTCCCCAAATTATTTTTCTGTTATTTGTCCAACTAAAACTCCCTGATGTGGTTTGGCTGTTTGTCCCCTCCAAATCTCATGTTGAAATGTAATTGCCAATATTGGAGGTGGGGCCAGGTAGGAGGTAATTAGATCATGGGGGCAGATCCCTCATGAATAGTTAGTACCATCCCCTTGGTGATAAGTAAGTTAGTGCATGTGAGATCTGGTTGTTTAAGAGTCTGGGATCTCCACTTTCTTTCTCTTGCCCCCTCATCTCACCATGTGACATGTCTGCTCCCCTTCACCTTTTGCCATAATTGTAAGCTTCCTAAGGCCCTCACTAGAAGCAGATGAAGGTACCATACTTCCTGTACACCCTGAAGAACCATTAGCCAATTAAACCTCTTTTCTTTATAAATTACCCAGTCTTGGGTATTCCTTTATGGTAGTGCAAATAGATTAATACACTCCCATTTCCCTATCGCCACTGATATTACTGTATTGATCTGGTCATTCATATCAAGCACTATCCATTCAGACACCTAAAAGAAGCATAAGACTGGAAAGTATAAGAGGTAGATGGCTGATAACTTTGTCTATCCTAAAGAGTATTTGTTTAAAAAGGGTTGGTTAACAAAGTTGACTGACAGAATTATAGGGCAAATATTTCTGCTTATTTCTGGGTATTTAGCTTTTGAAAAACCTTTCACTTTTCTCCCACAAGATAAAATGGTTGGATTAAATATTAAAGCATTCCCTGCCTTTGACTCTTCCAACAACACTTTTGCAGGTATCTCTGGAGTCCATAGGGCTCCATAAAAACACTGCTTAGTGAGAAAGCACAGGCTGGCATGGTATATATTATGGAAACTTTAAAATATCAGTTAGCAAGTATATATTACCTCAGAAAAAATTGTATCAATACTCAGCAAAGCAGACATAATCACTGAGAATTTGTCATATCCATTAACATTTTTAAGTGCCTAATTACTTTAAAAGTTGAATAAACCGAAGGTTTTAATTACACTTGTAAGATAAGCTATGCCTATTATGTACACAGTAAGAATACAGATACTAGAATCAGAAATACTATTTGACTTATCACTTAAAGATGCTTTGTGTGAGAATTCAGGTCTTCTATTAAAAAGACTGTACATCAGAATTTTTCTCTAATACAAAAAACTGCTTTCCAAATGATTTATGAATAATAGAAAACCTATAAGGCTGTATTTTTCAAATGGCAGATGGAGATCCACTAATAAAATCATGTAATCAGTTTAGGATCAGAGTGCACGGATATGTTAAGGATAATAAGTATTGTTTAGTTTCAGGTGTGTAATACGATAAATGGTGATATAAGGATGTATTTATTATAGGCCATAGTCAAATAGTTTGAAAACTATTCCCCTAAGGTGAGCAATTTGTAACCTGGGTTGATGCAAGGCACTTTTGGAGACATGTTAATATTTTATATTTATATTATTATAACGTCTTAGACACAGAAAGACCTATGCCAATATTTACATATTGAAGTATTTGAGGGTTCAAATATTTAAGCTGTCTTACAACTCTAAAAATACTTCAATATTCATTGTGTTTGTAACTTAGATAAATGAATTTTCCTCTCAAAGCAGCTCTCTACTGTATGTGTGATCCTAAATTAGTATTCCTAAATAAATCACAAGATTGGGTTAACTGTAAGGATTAGGCACAATTTACTTCATAGGGATGCTTGTAAAGGTGAGGAAGGTTTAATACAGATCCAGGATCTTCTTTTACTGTAAAATGTAAGACTCCTTATATGGACATGCTACATGAAATAAGTTTTTTTTAAAGTAAAAAAAAAAAAAAAAAAAAAGACTTCTATGACTAAACTCAAATCCACCCTCTTCCATTACCATAGATCTTGTTATGTTTTGTTCACAAGAGGAGGTAATAATGACTAATACTTTTCCTTGACTCTTATTTGAGAAGTGGATAATGACTATTTATTGGGGTATAATGTACCAATAGCAACTCTCTTCTCACAAGGTCAAGCAGGAGTTCTGCACAGTTCCTGAAATTGGAGCATTTACAAGACTTAGACACAAAACCATAAAAGGGATGAAATAGTCCTCAGCAAACAGCTACAATTATATAAGTTCTTATTTAGTACAGCCTATCCAAGGATTATTGCAATTTCCTTACTTGGTACTGACTTTTCCTTAAGTTGGATGAGATAAACTTCATTAATCTTTTTGCTTTCTTCTATGTACTCTCCTAAAATTTGAAAAGGGAGGGGCCCTAACAGGGTGAAGGATAACTCTCTGTTGCAGTTCATTTTCTAGAGCACCACTGTCCAACAGAAATTATTAATGAGAGCCAAAAATAGAACAATATATATATTTTTATTTTTTAGTAGATGTGCTAAAAAAGTTTTAAAAAGGTAAACATTTTAATAATTTTATCCCACCCAATATATTCAAATTATCAACATGCAATCAACATATGAAATATTGGTGAGATATTTTATATTTTTCATACATAGTCTTTGAAATCTATTGTGCATTTTATACTGAACACATCTCAATTGAGACTTTATATTTCAATGCTCAGTAAGCCACATGGCTGGGAGCTACTGTATTGGACAGTGCTGTTCTAGAAACTGCTCACATTAAAATGTAACAGCAAAGGACCTGCATTCTTAAATTTTCATAAGACTGAAGGCAAGTGAAGAAAGATTTGAACCAATCATGTTTCTGTTACACTATCAGTATGGGATTATAAAACAATTTCTGTTTTATTTCTGCCAACCATACTGAACACAAACTCCTACATTCCATTTTAATCATGGAAAAAAATAATTTTGTCAAATACTAAATGAATGCTCTTTTATTCTTGGTCTCATTTGAATGACAGAAAAAATGTGTTAATTAGGCCAGTATAAAAAATAAGAAAAAGCAGACGAAGAGAGAGGATGGGAATTTACAAATACTAGGATATGACCCACTGTGTAAGAATAATTTTTACTAAATATCTTTAATAAATTCCTATCCCTTAGTTTGAAGAAAAAACAAAAGTAAAATACTAAAATCAAGATTTTAATATATAGTATGTAGGGATATGGGCTTTCGGTTAGAAAAACCAAGATTAGTGACTTCGTGCTTTTATTTATGAAATGTGGTATGTAACAACTGATGTATTTGTTTGTTGTAACTACTGTATTTAGTTATGGCAAAACACCATTTCATTTCACTATGCCCATAATAAATAATTTATTATTAACGTGGTTGTGGGGTAGATTCAGACCTGGAGTTGTAACTTTCTGTCAAGAGTTATGGGAAGAAAGGAGAGAAATAAGATGGGGGAAAAAAAGAGAAGAAAGGATAATCCATAACAAAAAAAAAGGAAAAGAGATGGAGGTACTAAGGCCATCTCCTCCTCTGTGTTATGACTAGGATGTGTTTCCAGCATTAGTCTGGTTTTGTTTGCCTTCTGAATTTCAAGGGTTCTGCAGATTTTGTTTTCTAATGCTGTAACATTAGAATGTATTCATAGAAAAAAGTCCTCTTTCATGTTTTGAGATTTTGTGAAAAGAGGATGAAGAACCTTAGTCTGTTAGATTTCTCTTTATCTGAGAAGCAAGCAATTTATATAAAATGTAATAAATTTCTTTTTCTTTTCTTGAGACAGGGTCTGGCTCTGCCGCCCAGGCTGGAGTGCAGTGGCATGATCTTGGCTCACTGCAACCTCTGCCTCCTGGGCTCAAGCAACACTCCTACCTCGGACTCCTGAGTAGCTAAAACTACTGGCACAAGCCACCACACTTGGCTAATTTTTTGTATTTTGTGTAGAGATGGGCCCAGGCTGGTCTCGAATTCCTGAGCTCAAGCAATCCCCATCCACCTCGGCCTCCCAAAGTGCTGGAACTACAGGCATGAGCCACTACGCCTGGCCAAAACGTAATACATTTCAATCTTATTTTTACCCTTGGACATAAAATTGCCATCCCTCATGTAAAAATACTAAAGTCAAGTGGAGACAATTTCAAATATTCAACTCCATTATGTAATGCACAATGTGAGCTTTAAACATTAATACATAAAATTATTAGGGAAACAAAATAGCTCTAATTGTAAACAAAGCAACCATAAGAGCTAATTGGATTTACTTTTTAAAATATTGAAGCAGATATCTAAAATGCTTAAAAAAATAAACTAATTCAATCTAAATGGGTTACTAGCTTCTTAATATCTAAAGAAAAATGTATTGTAAGCACATTAATAAGTTAATTACATTTGTGGTTCATGACTAAGACTTACCAAGTTCTGCTAAATTACCAAATGCAACAAGACACATTTCTGTAAGAGCTGCATTTTGGCAGTGGATGCCCAGTAATTTCACTAAGGTAGGAATAACACCCATATTGATAAGCTGAGCTTGAAGCGAATCTGTAAAAACAACAACAACAGAAAAGCAAGTGTTGACGTTATCAAATGAACATTACAGGAAGAAAACACCTCTTATTTTCCCTATTGGAAACTCAATGTTATTTAAATTACAGTAATGAAAAATGAAGTACATTCATATGATTATATTGAACATTTTAAACATCAGTTCAGAAGAGTTTAGTTTTGAATCCTTTGACTAACCAAAAGGCATTCAGAAATACAAATAGTTTGAAGACTATATCAAATCGTTAGTTATTTAAACAGGGTCTTACACCATTAAAAAGCAGGCTTTTAATAGGTATAAACAAACATTAACAGTTTTTGAGTGAAAAAGTTACAGTAACATTTGCATTACAGGAAATCACAGAATATGAAAAGTATAAGAAAAATAGCAAGTTTAATAAAGACCAAAAAAGGAGGAAAAAATCTTAGAATCCTTTAAAAATACTTCCCATAATACAAAATTAGAAATATATAACAAATACACAAAAATGATTGGTTCTGAGTATTTGCAACCAGAGTGTTCTTGATGACTGTTAGGAAGAGAGGTACAAGAAAAAAAAATGAGTTACCTAAAATATTTTTCAAGTTTTATTTAATTATAGTGACAGATTATCTCAGTAAAAGACAGGAAAGTCTGGCTTAGAGAGGTGAAGAGAATAAGGTTAACATGGCTTTGCCATCATTGTTTGCCTTCATTTTCTAAGCAACAAATTGATTCTGAAGTACTAAACATGCCTTGAATTTCCATAAGGGCTCTTCATGACAATAATAGAATACCTGTAGCAAAGTTGAAGGTAAATAAACTAAAATAAAAACCAAAAGCACTACCTCTTAGAATAAGCTAAGAAAGGCATATAAACATTCATATGTTTATGCAAAACACTATAAATGTCAATAACTGGTTCATCCAAAGATACAGAAATGCTCTTTCAAAATTACTTTTCTCTTTAAAATAATATGCCATTTTCAAGCTAATAATTATCCCCAAATTCTTTTATCTCTATGCAATCTAAAGACAAAACTCTTTCTTACAAAAACACATGTTCCTCATAGCTCCAATCCCTTGGCAGGGTTGGCCTGCTAATTTTTTTATTACTCTTTATAGTTCTTAATCTATAGATAAGGAAGTAGGAGGGCGATTTTCAGAAAAGAACATACAGAATTGAGCTATCTCACATGCCAGTTGATTTACTGCCTGGTGGTCTTTGTTGCTAATTCTTCCTGCTTTTAGCGTGAAGTATGAGGAGGTAGTCAACAGAGGCTTATTGTCCCTGAAAACTATGACTCTATGACTGGGTAATTACAGATAATTATCTGGTTTAGTTGTGGAAGTCCATCTATACTAGAAAGGGGTTTATTACCAAAATAATAAAAAATAAAGATGGGAAAAATGGAAGGTTATGTTTAGAGTTCAAATACTTTAATAAAACAATTTCAAATTTTGTAATGAAATTATGAAGTCTATACTAAAAGGAGATATGAATTAAAATATACTCAACTAAATAATCTGTATTCATACTTTTGATGTTAAATTTTTTTCTGAATATGCTATTAAGCAATTAATGATTCACAACACTTAAAGGTAAAATACACATTATAGTGTTATATCTACATTATATTGGCAGAATAGTTGCATTATGGTTATAGTATTTGTAATAATCATGCACCAAGGAACTTTCCAAGTTAGAAATCACTTAGGTTACTTACCAGTAGATAGGGCTCTTTATTAGTGGGTCACCTCTGCAGATCCTTGTTCTTTAGCAGTATTTTTATTTATATATGTATTCATTTTGACTACTTTGTCAAATACTGCAGAGCTGTTGAATCATTAAATTTCAGGTATGTAAGCGTGAGCACTAGCGCATGCATTGAATGTGAGTCAAACTCCACTATATGTCTGCATATATGTAAGCATCACACACCCCCTCAGTTCTGTTGGTACAAACTACAAAAAATCCAACAGTCCAGGGACATCAGAGGAATAACACAGTTTATGAAGAAGATAACAGAAGAATACCACTTAGAAGATAATGCTCTTCATGTTCTGCTAACTTGGCCTATCTATCACTTTTTTGGACAGCTTTTACAATGTTACAAATTTTGGTTCCAGGGAAAAAGGTGAAAATTCAAGAAATGTTATAATGCTTAAACAATCTTTCGCATACAAATTGAAGCAGTAATATTTGAAATTGTGGCAGATTGGGAGAAAAAGTTAACATAGCCAAATGGCACATTATAGGTAATGCCGTAATTCATGAAAATCACGTTGCTTTGTGAAAATGTTTTATAACTACCCAGGAGCCAAATTCATTATATACTCACATACAACACACATACTACACAAAAGAGAAAAATATATAGCCATCCAACTGGATGAACTCACTGTGGACCAATTGGGTGCTCTCTTTTACATCTACTTCTATGATGCTAACTGAAACAACAGTCATCTCAAATAATTCTAAAATTTGTTCACCCTGACTACAGGCCTGCCATGTCTTATATAATGAAGGCCCCCGAGGGGGAGAGGCCAAAAAAAGAAAGACACTTTTATTTTTTTTATTTTTTGAGACTTCATTTGACTCTTGTTGCCCAAGCTGGAGGGCAATGGTGTGATTGTGGCTCACTGCAACCTCCACCTCCCAGGGTAAAGCGATTCTCCTGCCTCAGCCTCCCAAGTAGCTGGGATTACAGGCATGCGCCACCATGCTTGGCTAATTTTTTTGTAGTTTTAGTAGAAACGGGGTTTCACCATGTTAGCCAGGTTGGTCTTGAACTCCTGACCTCAGGTGATCCACCCGCCTCGACCTCCCAAAGTGCTGGGATTACAGGATTACTTTCACAAGTTGATATAAATTTTCAACCTAGAATATGGTTCTCAAAGCGTCCCTGGAACCCTTTCGGAGGATTACAAAATCAAAGCTATTTTCATAAAAATGCCAAGATTTTATTCGCTCTTGCCACTGTGTCGACATTTGTACTGATGGTACAAAAGCATTGGTAGGTAAAACTGCTGGCACTTTAGCATGCACCAGTAATGGCACCAAACTGTATTAGTAGCCATTGTTTTCATCACCACAAATAAAAAAATAAACTGCTATTCTTGGCAGCAATTTTTTGGGGAAAATATTTTTCATAAAAATGTTACTTCTGTTAACATATAATGGGTTTGTTATTTTAAAATGAAGTACTAAATGATTTTAAAATTTTTCTCCACTTAAATTTCTAATTCAGTAAATACAAATATAACCCAAATGCATAAACAAAATTCTTCTAGAGCTTCTGTAAGTTTTAGACATCTAAAATCAAAAGACCAAAAATTTAAGAACCACTGTCAAAGGACCACCCTTTTTTTTTTTTTTTTTCTTTAAGACAGAGTTTTTGCTCTTTTGCTCAGGCTGGAATACAGTGGCAGCATCTGGGCTCACTGCAACATCCGCCTCCCGGGGTCAAGCAATTCTCTTGCCTCAGCCTCCCAAGTAGCTGGGATTACTACAGGTGCCTGCCACCACACCCAGCTAATTTTTGTATTTTAGTAGAGACCAGTTTTCACCATGTTGGCCAGGCAGGTCTTGAACTCCTGACCTGAGGTGATCTGCCTGCCTTGGCCTCCCAAAGTGCTGGGATTACAGGCGTGAGCCACTGCACCCAGCCAGGACTACTTAATTTTTATAAGAGATTGGAAGGTGGGTGGGAAACATGGTAAATATTCTGAAGTTCAATGATGTGCTTAGCAGAAGTGATAACAGAAAAAAAAAAAAAGAAATAAGATAACAGCACAGTAAGAATCCCAGATTTTGGCACTCTTGATATTTTCAGAGTAATTATACCAACAAAGCATTTAACATCTCATCTTGCTTATTTGAGTAGAAACTCTACTTATTACTAAAAGATTATTCCAGATTGAGTCTGCTACCTATTTCAGTTGCTATTTAAATGTTACAATTCAGTAGGTGGCCGCGGTTGTTTTTTGAAAAGATTAAGTAGGGGTCCTGATTGTGTAGGATAAGTTGGTATTCTTACTGACAGAAATAAATGATTAGTTTGATCATCTTTTTTGTTTGTTGCCCAAAGAAAGCTTGCAAATGTTTTTCAAAGGATAATAGCTGACATCCATGATATCATGAATGTTATCAGGAGTATGACTTTTAAGTGAAAGACAAATAGGAAAAAAGTCTTAGAAGTAGAAATAGTTCTTGTTCTCAGATACATTAGGGAGAGTAAGCGAAACAATTGCAAGACTAGGACTTCTGTATCCCTCAGTGAGTATCAATAACTCCAGGGGAGTGTTATCAGAGCTCAACAAACACATCAACTCACAGAAATGTAACCCAGGCCCATACATAGCAAACACTTATGTGTGAAAGACAGTCTTCAGACAGCACAATGTCATAAACGTCTGAAGACTCTGTTTTAACTGCTCCTGACACACATCACAGACAAATACTGACCAAACACAGATTTACGAAATTACGTAATTTCAAAATGACACAGGCCCTACATGATCTATGGGGAGGAAGAGGAAGAAAGGCACTGAGGGGGTGCAATACAGATGCATATACAAAGAGATATAAGGCAATCAACGCATGCGCTGGTGTAAACACTTACCTACCTACATTTGAATTTCAATGGTTCCAAGTTCTTCAGGTCACACTCATGGAAACTCCAAAGAATGGAGATCTGGAGAGAAGATCTCAAGTTGAGGAACCTTTTCCCCCCTGAGTTTTAAGTTTAATGTTTAAAACATTGGTATAACTAGATTATAGGTCCAGAAAAGTAAGCTGCGAATTCCAGTAACTCAACTGAGGTTACTAAAAATAAGTTTCTTAAGATTGTAACAGGTTTATCTTATTCCTAAGGCTCTTACAATGTTATAAGATTATTGAGCTTTCTGGTAAACAGAACTTAAGAATGAAACTGTCAAAACAAGACAGCACACAATTCAAAATACAGTCTCTACATTAGTATGTATACATATTAGTCACAGTATAATGATATGATATTGCCATTTACAAGCTTGCATTAAAAATCTCATCTACAGTCAAATTAGTTGAACATAATTGAAACTAAAAGCAGCAAATAAAACTCTTAATGAAAAGTTCTAATACAAATTGGCTAAAAAGCATTTTGGTATAACAAAGACTGAAGAAAGCTACCTTTGACTTAATGATATATCTATATTTCCAAAAAAGAATATGAAAATTAAAAATAATAAATGATTTAACAGTGAAGTAGAGCTTTGAGCTCAAGCAAATTTTAACTGAAAAGTAAACTGACTTAAATATGGCTACTAAGAGGATGATTAGTGGTTAAAAACTTCATATACTCAAATGTATAGGTAAAAGTAAAGACTTCCTTATAAAGTGGAGAACTTTATTCTAAACCTAGTGTTGAGGATATAAAACTAGATTATTTACATGTGTTTAAAATTCAAATTAATTATTTTAAAGCCTTCTTTATATCAAACATGCATATGCGTTTTGCACCCAGATTGTTGCTTCAAGCCTCACTATACATTTCAATGATACATAGAAATTTCTTTTAAAAAAAAAAAGAAAAAAGCAAATCAAGATGCATTAATATTGACAATACTGGAGGTTTAAAACAATATATGTATACATTTCTTCGTAGATACTAACAATAAAAAACTAGAAAAGATCATTCAAAAGTTCTTTCTGGGTTCTGAAAATAAAAATTGTCTCTACATGGCAAAATTTCCCTTTTGTAAAAGTTCTAAACATAAATGGCAAAATTATATGCATGAGATTGATGTAAAACAAAAGAAGCAACAACAACAACAAAAATGCCAAAGCAAAAATCATAAGAGAAATCGTAAAAATTTTTGTTAATCTTAAGCAACTTACCCATTTACTGTTCTCAATCCAATGACAACTAGAGTGATTATGCCTTAATCTAACAGATAATTTTTCCCTTATTTGCTCCAGGTTAAATTATTTGCTACAGATCAACTTTTGTTATAATGAATACTGCTATTAAAAAAATTCTATAGATATATCTATTCTGATTTAAAAAACTCTATGCTTTCATCTCAGAAAGAAACTGGTCTTTTAAGTTAAATGTGTGTATGTGTTGTTTTTTTTTTTTTTTTTTTTAAAAGAGGACGACTGCCAGCTGTTGCTTAAGCAGCATTTATTAAGAGAAACCAATCCAGTCTCTGCTTTCATATAGCATTGCTGAGATAAAGGCCACATCTACAGTAAGTATGCATTTAAGCCTGAATTTTTGTACAGCAAATTAAGCTAATGCCAAATTAATTTACATCCCAACATGTATATCTTACAAACATATGCTTAAAAACATAGCAATCCCTTATTTTCAAAAGAACATATTAGCTTTTTTTTAAAAAACAAAAAACAAAAACTTTACTAGTTACCATGGGGCATTATTATAATTTAGTTTTTAAACTTTAAAA